AGGCAGGCGCCAAACCGCTGCGCCACCCGGGGATCCCTATTTTAAATAATTTTTAAAAGATTTTGTTTATTCATGAGAGACACACACACACACAGAGAGAGAGAGAGAGAGAGAGAAGCAGGCTCCATGCAGGGAGCCCAACGTGGGACTCGATCCCGGGTCTCCAGGATCACACCCTGGGCTGAAGGCAGGTGCTAAACCACTGAGCCACCCAGGGATCCCCAATTTTAAATATTTTCATGTAATTATTCACGGAAGATGCACAGAGAGGCAGAGACATAGGCAGCCCATGGGGAGCCCGATGCAGGACTCGATCCCAGGACCTGGGGATCAGGGCCTGAGCTGAGGGCAGATGCTCAACCACTGAGCCACCCAGGCGTTCCTGTTTGTTTTGGAATAAATCATTGTCATCAAAACAGTCCCAATGAAGTAGCTACTGTTACTCAGATTTTCAAATGAGGAAAGGAGGCCCGGAGGGATTTAGTGACCTGCCCAAGTTCTGTCGGTTTGTTCTCTAAACATCAACTCCACTCGGTCCTTGTCAGCCCTCTCGCCTACTTTGATTCAGGCCTTCATAGTTGCTTGCCTGGATGACTTCTACAAAGGCCCCGTAGCTCCTTTCCTTGCTATCCTCAACAAAGTCAAGGATTAATGTTTCTAATGCAAATCTAATCATGTCTCTCAAATCCGTCTTTAAGTCTCTCAAATGTCAAATCCTTCTGTGACCCCGTATTGCCTGTAGGTGCCCACACAAGCTGTTCTTTATGGAAATATTACATCCCGGAGAAGTGCGTGAATTATAAACGCACGGCCTGCTGAAATTTCACAAGTGGATCACACCAGCGGCCAGGTGGAGACACCGGGCAATAACCAGCGTCCCAAAAGTGTTTCCTTCCCATCACTAACCACTTTCCCTCACACCCCAGGGAGGTAGCCTTGGGTTTGCACATGATATAAATGGATCATTACGGCATATACTCTTTCATGTCTAGTTCCTTTAACTCACTGTTGTGTTCATTATGTGCATCCATATGTTGACTATGTTTATGGTTTGTTTGTGAGGATGCTGTGTCGCATTCCACTGTGTAAATACGCCACAATTGATTTATCCAGTCAACTGTTGATACACATTGGAATAGTATGTATTTCGGACCTAAAAAATCTTTTTTCAGGGATCCCTGGGTGGCGCAGCGGTTTGGCGCCTGCCTTTGGCCCAGGGCACGATCCTGGAGACCTGGGATCGAATCCCACGTCAGGCTCCCGGTGCATGGAGCCTGCTTCTCCCTCTGCTTGTGTCTCTACCTCTCTCTCCCTCTCACTGTGACTATCATAAATAAATAAAAATTAAAAAAAAATCTTTTTTCAAATTGTATTTATTTATTCATGAGACACACAGAGAGAGGCAGAGACACAGGCAGAGGGAGAAGCAGGCTCCATGCAGGGAGCCCGAGGAGGGACTCGATCCCAGGACCCCAGGATCTCGACCTGAGCCAAGGAAAGGCAGATGCTCAACCCCTGAGCCACCCAGGTGCCCCTGGACCTAAGAAAAATCTATGCCATGAACATTGTAATAGAGATCTTTTGATGAACATGATGAATGATGCATACATTTCTCTTGGATATATACCTAGAAATAGAATTGTTGGGTCACAGGTTGTTCCATGTACAAATTTGGATATTTTATTTTATTTTTTTAAGATTTTATTTATTCACGAGAGACACAGAGAGAGAAAGAGAGGCAGAGACGCAGGCAGAGAGAGAAGCAGGCTCCACGCAGGGAGCCTGACGCGGGACTCGATCCTGGGACTCCAGGATCACGCCCTGGGCTGAAGGCAGGTGCTAAGAGCCACCCAGGGATCCCAAATTTGGATATTTTAATGCAGTTTTCCAAAGTGTGCCAATTACATCCCTGTTGGCAAAATATGACAGTTCCGGTTGTTGCACATTCTCATCAATACTTGGTACTTTCCATCTATTTTCATCTTGGGCCATTTTGGTGAGTGATAATTGTGCCTCGTGTGGTTTTAATTTGCAACCTCCCCGACGATGAACGAAGTTGATCACCTTTTCACATGTTTATTAGTTGTTTAGAAATAACTTTATGGGGATCCCTGGGTGGCTCAGCGGTTTAGCACCTGCCTCTGGCCCAGGGTGTGATCCTGGAGTCCCGGGATCAAGTCCCACATCAGGCTCCCTGCATGGAGCCTGCTTCTCCCTCTGCCTGTGTCTCTGCCTCTCTCTCTCTCTCTCATGAATAAATAAATAAATTCTTTAAAAAAAAAAAAGAAATAACTTTGAGTGTGTGTTAAAGTTTTGCCCATTTTTGTGAGCTGAGTCTTTTCCATTTGTAATTTTTCCAAAATTTGATTATAATAACTTTCAAATATTTAGCAAAGTTTTTTTTTTAAGATTTTATTTTATTTTTTTATTTGAGAGAGAGAAGGGGCAGAGGGGGAGAGAGAGGGAGACAGAATCTGAAGCAGACTCCACAATGAATGAGGAGCCTGACATGGGGCTGTTCCCGGGGTTCCATCCCATGACCATGAGCTCATGACCTCCGCTGAAACCAGGAGGTGGATGCTTACTCCACTGAGCCACCCAGGTGCCCCAAATATTTGGCAAAGTTCAAAGAATTTTACAGCAAACACACTGCAAACCTACCATATAGATTCCATGAATAATTTTATAAAACTTGAATAAGTTTATTCCATGAATAAGTTTATAATTTTATAAAACTTGAATAACTTTATTCCATGAATAACAGTTTATAAAACTTGCTCGTTACGTTTCCAACCTTCCCTTTATCTATTCTAATATTGTTGCATTTCAAAGTAAATTGCAGCTGGTGATACAAATCCCATAAGTAATTTAGCCTGTATATCACTAACTAAAATTCAATGTCTAAGATTTCTTTTGATGTACAATTTCAAAGATAATAAGTCCACAAATCTTCATTGTACATCTGCTGAGTTTTGAGCACATGAGGTCTTGAGTTCCATTCCTCCTCCCAGTCAGTCTTCCTGTCCACTCTTCTGGGGGCAACCCCCATGCTGATTTGTTCTCCACTGTCTAGCTTCACATGTTTCAAAATTTCATATTCCCGGAGTTGTACAGTATGTGCCCTTTTGTGTAAGCCTCAGCATAATGGATTTCTGAGTCTATGTTTTTGCATGTGTCAGCAATCTACTCCTTTTATTGCTGAGTCATATTCCACGGGACAAATATGCCACAGTCTTTATGGACTATAAGAGGGATTTCTATGCACATCCTTTGTCAGGGCTGTATGTTGGCAAATATCTTCTCCCATTCTGGGTTTCTTTTCATTCTTTTAATGAATGAGGTCTGATTTTTTTTTTTTTTTTGCAGGGGAGGGGGGAGATCTTGATTTTAATATTCCAGTTTTGTCAATGTTTATGGTGAGTGTTTCCGATTTAAGGTGTCTCTGCTTACTCTAGGTTATTAAGATTGCTCTTCTGTTTTCCTCTAAAAGTTGTACTATTTTAATTTGCCCCTTTAGAACAGTATTCCATTTGGAATAGTTGTAAATGGTGGGATATAGAAGTAGACCCAGATGCCTCTTTTTTTCCCCCCATGGGGATATCCAATTAATCCAACACGTTAATTTAAAAGATCATTTCCCCATTTGCAGTTGTCATAAATCAGGTGGCCTTATATGTGTAGACCTAATTCCCACCTCTGTATGGTTTTGTCTGTCGTTGCATCAATACCTCATAGTCTTCATTACTGTTTGTTTTATGATAATCCTTGGTAGTACATCACTGAATTTTTAATTTCATTGAATTTGGATCTAAATAGGCATGTAGCTAGTGACCACTAAGATAGCACAGATACAGAACATTTCCATCCTCACAGAACGTTCTGAGGCCAATACCGGAAAAGATACTTCCTCTCATAGCTACAGGCCATCTTCAGCTTATTCCAGGGTGCCCTTCAAAAATATCTGCATAAAATCTCATTTTAGAAACTCAAACACGTCTTCCCACACCTAGGTAAGACACCCAGTTCTTTTGACCTCGTGCTTTTAGCAATGAAAATATTTCAGGTGTGGAAGAGCCTAATGCTTTGGGGGACATTTCCTATGATCAGACACCATAAAATATGTAGTCCCAAATCGTATGTAAAGATTCCTGCTGTAATACCATTACATGGAGCTTATTATCTGTCCTGGTCCAAGTTTAAACTTAATCCTCTTTTAGAGGTCCTTTCTGGGCTGTGACTAGCTGTGTTTGAGAGAGTTTGCCCTCAGTCCTGAGGTCACGAGGCTGAGCAGCTCTGGCTCCTGTGTGTAAGGAATGCCTCAAACCATTTTGTCCTGTCTACTCCGTCAGAGACCTTGAAGTCTTGTGCCATTAAACGACACATATGATACAAATGATACATATTATTATGTACTTCAGGTGTCACTTTTTACATTCCGTGTGCGTATTTCTCCCTACCATGCTTGAGTTTGATGACTGTTTCTTTTCTTTTCTTTTCTTTTTCTTTTTCTTTTTTTTTTTTTTTGACTGTTTCTTTTCTAATGTCTTGTGGTTTATAGACCCTGATGGCTATCTTCATTTATCATCAATTTTCAGGCTTGAGGATAGCACAGGGCTTTAGTGGTGATCTAAATTTCCACTAGGGCAACAGGTATTTATTGAGCACCCGCTCTGCGAGGTGCCGTGAGCGGGGCCCTGGAGACAACCCTAGGACAAATCACAGATAATACTTACTACCATTGAGCATCTACTGTAGCCCACACACTTGCACTTGTTATTTTTAATGATCGTAACGACACTACAAGGTAAATATTGTTATCTTATTTTTCAAGTGATAAAGCTAAAGATTTTTTTGGGGGGAGTGGGGTCAAATTTCTGCAGCTAATATATGCATCCTGAAATCCCTTATTCTTCCTGAAGTCCTTCTAGAAAGATCAGAGAGAGAAACAACCTTCCCTCTCTCTGTCCTCATTCTAATAGCCAGGCTTTTCTCTGACCCAGGGTCTGGGAAGGAGGCATTGCTAACAAGTGGCCAGTGCCCTCTTTAGGAGTACAACTCTCCAAGAATCACCTCAGAACCAGAATCTGTTAGTACCTCCAGAGCAAACATCAATGTGGAAGAAGGACCTGCCAGGATGGGTCCTTTAAGGAGACTCTGAATGTGAGTATGGTGGCTGGGTATCTAGTGTTATCTTGGACCATAACGATAAGAACCACCTAGGTGTTATGGACTGAATTCCGTCCACCCTCTGCACCCCACACCCCCCAAATTTAGATGTTGAAGTCCTAACTTCCAGTATCTTAGAGTGTGACCTTATCTGGAATGTGATCTTACAGGGTCACTGAGGAAGTAAATTGGTTAGGATGAGGGCATACTGAAGTCAGGAAGCCCCTAATCTAATAGGACTGGTGTCCTTATAAAAAGGGCCAATTCAGACACAGATACACACACACACACAGAGAGAGAGAGAGAGAGAGAAAGAGAGAGAGACAGAGAATACCGTATGAGCATGAAGGGGAAGGCAGAGATATTTCCACAAACCAAGCAATGCCAAAGATTTCTAGACACCTACCAGAAGCTGTGGGAGAGGCCTGGAACAGGTTCAGCCTTACAGTCCTTGGAAGAAACCAACCCTGTCAACTCCTTCATCTTGGGTGTCTGGCCACCAGCACTGTGAGACGATACATTTCTGTTGTTGAAGCCACCCAGTCTGTAGTACTTTGCCATGACGGCGGAAGCAAGTTAATATACCAGAGATGGCAAAGAAATGAGGAGTCTGCACCCCCGGGGGCTTTATGGAGCACGACTTCCCCCTCAGCCTCAGTGCTGATATAGAAAAAACGTCTGCCCTGTTTTAGACACTCTTACTGGCCCTTTGTCACCTGCATTCAAACCAATCCCAGTTGACACTCAGGATAAAGCCCAAACTCCTTATCATGACATACTCTACCCATTAAGATTTGGCCCCTGCCTTTTTTTTTTTTTCTGCCTTGCCTCCTCTGAGCCCACATACTTCAATCATATGGCGCTACCCCCCGACCCCTCTCATAACCTCCTTCCTCTGAGCATGCCTCTCCCTCTCCTGATAATATCTTTCCCACCTCTTTCTCTCTGCCTGTGCTCTTTCTTCTTCTTGGCTTGGCCGTCTCTTGAGTCCTACATCCTCCAGAGTTCCTTCCCAGACCTCACTGGGAGCAGTTTCTGATCTCATGCTCCTGGTGCTTCCTGCTATCACGATGCATATCCATTATGTTGTAGATTGTGAACTACTTTTTTGGAGTCCATCATAAATACTAATTAAATCTTTCCTCAGTGGTGAAGAATCATTGGGAATTGTCCTCATTCTATTGATGAGATGATGTGTTCCAAATCTCTAGGATACATTTTTATGTAGGTTGTTTTTTTTTCTTTTGAAGGGTAGCTCAACAGTATACTCAAGATGGCTACGAAATGAAGCATCTCCTTTTGACCTTCCTTTTCTCTTTTAGTCATGAGTACCTTTAAAAATCCTTTTTTTTTTTTTTAAGATTTTATTTATTTATTCATGAGACACACACACAGAGAGAGGCAGAGACACAGGCAGAAGGAGAAGCAGTCTCCATGCAGGGAGCCCAATGTGGGACACTATCGCGGGTCTCCAGGATCAGGCCCTGGGCTGAAGGCGGTGCTAACCTGCTGAGCCACCTGGGCCACCCTGGTATTGGCTTTTAGATGTCTTCTAAAGAGTGTGGTCCATAGAACCTCCTGTGAAGGAGGCTCCTGTGAATCTGAAAACGTTCTGTGTCTATATCGTCCAATATGGTAGCCACTAGCCACATCATTATTTAAATTCAAATTTTGTTCCATTCAAAATGCAGTTCCTCAGTATGGTAGCTTGAATAATGGCTTCCAAATATATCCACATCCTGGGGAGCCCCGGTGGTGCAGCGGTTTAGCGCCGCCTGCAGCCTAGGGTGTGAACCTGGAGACCCGGGATCGAGTCCCATATCAGGCTCCCTTTTCCCTCTGCCTGTGTCTCTGGTCTCTCTCTCTCTCTGTGTGTCTCTATGCAGAAATAAATAAAATCTTATAAAATAAAAAATAAATAAATAAAACAAAAATGTTAAAAACAACAACAAATATATCCACATCCTAATCTCCAGAACATGTGAATGTTAACTTATATTGCAGATGTGATTAAACTAAAGATCTCAAGATGGAGAGATTAACTGGACTATCTGAGTGGACCGTAAATATAATTACAAGTGTCCTTAGAAGAGGGAGACCCAGATTGACTGGATAGCAGAACAGAAGAAAGCAGGGCTACAGCTGAGGCTACGCTGCTGGCTCTGGAGAGGAGAAGGGATGCATGGAATGAACCTCTGGAAGTGGGAAAAGGCAAAGAGACGGGTTGTTCCCTAGAGCCTACAAAAGGAGCGTGGGCCTGCAGACACCTTCACGTCATCCCAGTGAGACTGATTTCAAACTGTAAGACAATAAACCTGTGCTTTTTGAAGCAATCAAGTTTGTGGTCATTTGTGACAGGGGTCATGGGAAATTCGGACACACAGTAGCGCTGGCCGCGTTTTGGGAGCACACTTCTAGACAATGTAGTTCTAGAATCCTCTGCTTGGGAGAACAAGTAAGTACGTGTGACGGATCTCCTATTCTGTACATCTTTCAAAATCTAGAAAAATTCTAAATACGAGTAATTTGCTGCTTGTATCCAATATGAATGTATAATATAAATCTTGTGCATGGGAAAACCAAGCCAGGAAAGCTTTCCTATCTTCTGCTCAAGCAGGTAATCACAACTACTGCAGCTACTGTAACTCAGCCTTTGTCCGGTATTGTGATCCATTTCTTGCAGTTGAGACAGTTTTTAAATGGCCTCATTTACCTCATGAGAATTGATGCCAGAGATGCTTCCAGTCAGTTTATCTTCCTCTTTGGAGCACAAAAAGCATTATCAAGTCAGATACAAATTATTATTATTATTTTTAAAGATTTTATTTATTTATTTATTCATAAGAGACACAGAGAGAGAGGCCGAGACACAGGCAGAGGGAGAAGCAGGCTCCCTGCGGGAAGCCCGATGCGGGACTCGATCCCAGGACCCCGGGATCACGCTCTGAGCGGAAGGCAGATGCTCAACCGCTGAGCCACCCAGGTGTCCCAAGTCAAATACAAATCACACCTCTCTTGATAAATGTCTCACTTAATAACAATGCTGATTTTGATGTCTCGGGTTTGCTTGGTGTGTCCACATGCAGTCCAGCAGAAGCCCATCAGAGGTGCCAGAGTGAATGAGACACACCTCTGATCTTAGACAATAGGCTTTCCAGCGCTGTGCTGCCGCTGGCAGCTTCGGGCCTCTACCTGTCTGCACAGGTGGGAAGGTTCTATGACGGCCGATCGTTAGGGAAGGAAAAGAGCAACCTTCTTTGAGAATGGTGTGGGGGGAAAAGCCACCACCAGACAAACTCTACTGAAGCAATTACAAAACCACCCTGTACTATATCCTTTCACATGAACACCCTAAACCTAGTTGGAGAAAGCAGTTCACAAGAGTTCATACCCTGGCAAGTGTTTTTGTTTGAATTATCTTATTGTTGGAAGGCATACATAACACAAAATTTCACCATTTTTACCGTTTTCAGTATGCAATTTAGTAGCATTAGTAACCCTCATGTCAGCAAGACCCATTTCCAGAGATTTTTCATCTTCCCAAACTTAAACTCTGTACCTGTGAAACAGTAGCTCCCCATCCACCTTCCTTCCAGCCTCTGGTAACCTCCATTCTACTTTCTGTCTCTATGAATTAGACTGTTCTAGGAACTTCATGCAGGTAGTAACATGCAGTATTTGTCCTTTTGTGTCTGGTGTCAGCCACTCAGCATGATATTCTGCAGGTCCATGCACGCTGTAGCATCTAACAGCATGCATGGACCTGCAAAACATCAGGCTGAAGCATCTAACAGACTTTCATTCCTTTTTAAGGCTCAGTAATATTCCATTGTGTGTACATGCCACATTTTTTTCAACCATTCACATCCATCAATGGGTGCTGGGTTGTTTCCATCTATTTACCACTGTGAATAATACTGCTATGGAAGTCGGTGTGCACACTGGCATATTTTATTTTATTTTTATTTTTTTAATATTTTATTTATTTATTAATGAGAGACACAGAGAGGCAGAGACACAGGCAGAGGGAGAAGCAGGCTCCATGCAGGGAGCCCGACATGGGACTCGACCCTGGGTCTCCAGGATCATGCCCTGGGCTAAAGGTGGTGCTACACCACTAAGCCACCGGGGCTGCCCACACTGGTGTATTTTAATAGCAGCCTACATAAGCCTAATACTCAGAATTTGCACAGTGGGAGAAATAGGTTTAAAGTTTCCCCCAGATTAGTGGCTATATAACTTAGCCGTACATTAGAATCCCTTAGGTTCTTTTAAAAATTCCCAGTGCCCATACTGCACCCCAGACTAATTATATCAGGTTATCTGGGAATGGAACCCAGGAATCAGTATCTTTTGAAAATTTTAGCATTTGATTCCAATGTGCAGCCACGCTTGAGAACCGGTGCCCTGAACAGTTCACTAGTAAACATTGCTTCATCTAAAGCTCGTTTCCTTTCCATACAATCTCTAAATCACACTCAGGTTTCCTCTACCTTCAAACCCCACTTAGCCGAATTAAAGTCATTTTTATATTGTCAAGATCTGCTAAGCCAAAGTATTGCATTTATAATTCAAGCTTGAGTGGGAGGGAAATCTTAGATCTACTTATTATTATTAAGGGAATGTTTGCTCCTATTGGAGACAAGATGAATTATTCAAGTATGTTTAAAAAAAAAAAAAAAAAAAAAAACAGGGATCCCTGGGTGGCGAAGCGGTTTGGCGCCTGCCTTTGGCCCAGGGCGCGATCCTGGAGACCCGGGATCGAATCCCACGTCGGGCTCCCGGTGCATGGAGCCTGCTTCTCCCTCTGCCTGTGTCTCTGCCTCTCTCTCTCTCTGTGTGTGTGTGTGTGACTATCATAAAATAAATTAAAAAAAATTAAAAAACAAAACAAAACAAAACAAAAAAAAAACGCTTTTATGCAATTTGATCCATAATGGAACTCTTTAACTTCAGGCCTAAAGATTTATTCTCACTGACACAATGATATGATATTGCTTTGGAAATTCCATGTTAATGTCTTTAAACACAGAGAGAGGAAAGCACCATTATTCGCAGTGATGCAAGTGATATTCCTAGAAAATCCAAAGGAATTAGCTTAAAAATATCCTGGAGATCTAAAAATAGCCTAATCGGAATAAAAATAGATAAAAAGTCAATAAGATCCTTGGACAACCAGTCCTAACCAGCTGAAAAATAAGAGATCTAATTTTTAGCAGTCACAAAGCTATAAAATACTTAAAACAACAAAAGATGCGGCGTGTATTTATTTGTGTGGTTACAAACCATATTGGGTAGTACTTGAGAGATTGGCCTGTAGAGAAGGCTGCCCCGTGCTAATCCTGGCTTCCACCCTTAGTAGCTGTAGGAATTGGGAAGTTATTTAACTTTCTGTGTGTTAGTTCTTCCATCTGTAACACTGGATAATAATAGCGCCTACCTCACAGAGTTGAGAAAATGACAGGAGTTAAAAATGTAAAGTGCTTAAAACAGTCCCTGCTACATAGGAAGTATCATTTCAGTGCTAGCTTTTAGCTTTATTACCAAAAGTCTTTTGAAAGAGGAATTGCATAGATGGAGAGCTATAGCAATATTCTTAAATAGAGTGAGTTTACAGGCATAAAGGATGGAGGCAGATGGAATAAACGCTGGATGACTGGGTATGTAAGAAAGAAGTTCTGAAACCTTATACTAAATACTTTTTTATGTCTGTTTTCTCTATTTAATTGATAATTGCATACCTGTGTATAAGTTATGCAATCTTTAAGTTTTCCTGCAGTGCCAATTAAATATACAGAAATGCTAAATGTAAAGTGTTTTTACAATTCATATGGAAAAACAAATGGGTTAGAATACAAAAGAATATCCAAAAGAGGAGAGGAGGGCTGTTAGTGGCTTTGACAACCTATTCCGGAGAAAGTTCAGAATAGTAGTGGGATAGGAGAATTCCCCTTTAGTGAATAATTATCCAGAAAGAGACACAACTCGAATTTTTTTTTTAAAGATTTATTTATTTATTTATGATAGACATAGAGAGAGAGAGATAGGCAGAGACACAGGCAGAGGGAGAAGCAGGCTCCATGCCGGGATCCTGATGCGGGACTCGATCCCGGGACTCCAGGATCGCTGTCCTGGGCCAAAGGCAGGTGCTAAACCGCTGAGCCACCCAGGGATCCCCCTCGAATTTTAAAAAGAAATAGAACTTGGCTTTTTAAGATTTTTCAAAGTTAAAAAGATTTAAAAAAAAAACCCTAATGAATGTATTTTGATAATTGATCAGAAATTTGAAAAATAAATAGTCCATAGATAAGAAATTAAATAGAAAAGCTTAAATTCACGGAGAATTATTAGCAAACAATTTTTGAAACACATCTGCAGAAGAAAAGTCCATTTTTCTCTGCTCTGATGAACTCCATAGAAAAGGCCTGGAATGTCTGACTATATAGCACAACTTTAAAGATCTGCAAAATGGGTACACCTGGGTGGTTCAGTCAGGGAAGCATCTGAATTTTGACTGTGGCTCAGGTCATGATCTCAGAATCCTGGGATGGAGCCCCGTATTGGGCTCTATGCTGGGTGTGAAGCCTGCTTGGGATTCTCCCTCTCTCCCTTGGTCCCTCCCCCTGCCCCCCTCACCCACATTCTCTTTCACTCTCTAAGAAAAAAAAAAAGAAAAAATATCTGTAAAATAGAAAATGAAAACACCATAGCAGAACAGGAGGCTCAAAATTCAAGTAGGACACAAATAGATCACTTCTTTTTATCCACACTTTTACTATACTATCCTGATGGCAAAATCTCTCACACTGACCTCTGAAGTAGCCCCTTCTCCAGCTGGTCTCTGCTTCCATCCTTTCCTTCCTAAAACACCATTCTCTGCAAAACAGACTGAGTGATCCTTTTTTTTTTTTAATTTTTTTTAACTTTTATTTATGATAGTCACACAGAGAGAGAGAGAGAGAGAGAGAGGCAGAGACACAGGCAGAGGGAGAAGCAGGCTCCATGCGCCGGGAGCCCGACGTGGGATTCGATCCCGGGTCTCCAGGATCGTGCCCTGGGCCAAAGGTGGGCGCCCAACCGCTGCGCCACCCAGGGATCCCTGAGTGATCCTTTGTTATTTATTTATTTTTAAATTTATTTATTCAGGAGAGACATAGAGAGAGAAAGAGGCAGAGACACAGGCAGAGGGAGAAGCAGGCTCCACGCAGGGAGCCCGACTTGGGACTCGATCCCCGGTCTCCAGGATCACACCCTGAGCCGGAGGCAGATGCTCAACCATTGAGCCACCCAGGTGCCCCAGAGTCATCCTTTTTTAAAGGATCATTGCTTTTTCAAAGCATTTAAATAAAACTCACATCCCTAGTCAGACTTACAGGACACACGATCACTCACCTCCCACCCAGCTTCAGTGCCCGAACTGCCTCACCCAAACCTTTGTACCACCTGTTTCCTCGG